ACACACACACACACACACACACACACACATCAGTACACAAACTCTCTCACACACACTCACATCAGTACACACACTCTCTCACACACACTCACATCAGTACACACACACACACACACACACTCTCTCTGTCTCACCCGTGTTTGAGGGCGAGTTTAACGAAGCCCTTGCGCTGCAGCAGCTGAAGGGTTAAGGCCCCCGGTCGAGCGTCCAGTGATTCTGGAGCTCCGCCCACCGCGATCACAGCCACCTGACCTCCACCTGGACGACTCAGCAGGTAACTCGCACTGGCCTTCTCGCTCGACACCAGCCCTGCAGAGGTCAGAGGTCAGACACAGAGTACTGTCAGAGAAGAGTTCACACACACCTTCACTACTCAGCAACACAAACCCATCCATCACAAACAATCTGAACGTACGAGGCGTCTCATAAAAGTGAATAAAAAGTCACACTGTTCATAAACTGAAGGTGCGAGTCACGCTCTTCATGAACTCAGTGAACGAAAGCAGACGAGACACTCGTTCGGTTCAGCGCACCAATCTCCAAGCAGGAGCATAAAGTGAGCAGATTGCAATAATGCTGAGCCGACGAGCCAAACTTTGTCTACACTTCAGTATTTTACACAATCTGAGTGAAATCACGCTTTACATCAGACTGTTACGCCACCGACCCGCGGCTGAAGAAACGCCATCAAACGCAGGAAAAGTGACTCGCAACGCAGCACTGAACCATGAGACCCGTGCTGTTTATATTAAACAGTTTAAATTATAGATGCATAAGTAAAACATTCTTAAGACCATTATTTACACCAGAATTTCATGACAATTAAACACATTTAACCTCACAAAGAACATAATTCAGACATTCAAGGGTTTCACACTTTCACAACATCCCATTACACAACCAGAATAAACAGAAAGGTCAAACACACACACACACACACACACACACAAACACACACACACTCACACACACACACTCTGTGAGTTTATCGATGACGGTAATTAGCTGGTATTGTGCTGAGTGTGTTATTGTGCTGATATCTTAAGGACTGCCGTGGACAGCGGACTCCTGAAGTGTTTGATATTCTTCATATTCTGTGTGCTGGTCTGATAGAAATTAATCTTTCCCAATATGTTTAAGTTGATTTTTACCTTTATAAAGCCATTTTTTCTAAAAGTGTGCATTATCTTTTGAGTCAAATTCTTACATTTAATCAGTGAATTAGAATAATAAGACATTTGGGCTGTTACCAAACAAATGAAATCAGTATCAACTAAATTAATCTTTGCAGCGCAGAGGAAACACAGAAGCTGCGTCTGAAGAGGCGTTTAGATGTGTTTACACACTGTTTAATGCAGGACATGAATGCATTTAACCTGCAGTTACAAATGAATAAATAATGTTTTGATATATTAAACACAAAACGTTGAATACTGATATTTGAAATGATTTAAAACATGGAAAAAATCAACAACAAAAAAAAAGAAAAAGCCGAAATTTGAAATTAGAACCGCCAGCAGGTGGCAGCAAATCCCTCTTAATAAGTGAGTCATTGCGATTGAACCGAATCATTTAAACGGTTGATTCATTCAAGAACGAAACACCGTCATGTTGCTCAGAGACACAAAACAACACTCACACAACTCACACTCACTCGCACTCTCTCACTCACTCACACACACACACACACTCACTCTCACACACACTCTCACACTCACTCACTCTCATACACACGAACAGTGCTGTGACTGTGTTTGGGGTTATTTTTGTTGTCGAAATAGAGCAAAAACAGGCAATATGGTGTCTAAAACGTAAGTCTCTTAATTAACTTCTTGTTTTTTGAACTGTTGTAAAAAAATCTATATCACATTTGTAATCAAGGTAATTTTGGAGAAAATGGCACTCTTTGTGTGATATTGGTGTTTTGAATGGTTTTTGCAAAATACTCGATAATGTCAAATCGCACATCGTTGAAACAACAATTACGATATTATCGCAGACGATATATATTGCACACCCCTAACTCACACACTCTCACTCACTCACTCACACACACACTCACACACTCTCACTCACTCACACACACACACTCTCACTCACTCACACAACACTCACACACTCACACTCACTCACACTCTCTCACTCTCACACACACACACTCACTCACACACACACACACACACACACACACACTCACTCACTCACTCACTCACACACTCACACACTCACTCACACACACCTCCGCCCATGATGTATTCTCTGAAGAAGGGAACTCTGAACCAGAAGGGCAGCATCAGCAGGTACGGCGTGAGTCCGGGGAACATCCGAGAGAATCCCGACACTTCCGTGCAGAAATTCCCGAATCCGCCGGCCACCAGAACGCCGTGAGGATGAAACCCGAACAGATAATTATAACGAGGGTCCAGATCCGCCGTCTTCATCAGCTAGAGAGACCAGAGCACTAGGGCTGTCACTAACCATTATTTTAGCAATCGAGTAATCTGTCGATTATTCTGACGATTAATCGAGTAATCGGGTCATTATAATTAATTTTTTTGTGGTAATAAAAATAGACCTAAGTGAAGAATAGCCTTTAAAATGACTTAAAATACATATATAATAGTGCTGGGAAAATAAATCGATGCATCGCGAATCGAGAAATGATTCCACATCGATTCTGAGATTTTCCGAAGGCATCGCGATTCTTTCTCAAGCCGATTCTGAGCTTATAGTTTTGAACAGCAGATGGCGCTGCATGCTTTAGAAACAGCCAAATCCTTACACACACTTAAACCTACAATAATCATTCATAAGATTCGAAAAGGTACAAGCGAATCACAAGGGTGTTCACAGTGGGCTGTGTTTACATTAATCTGGCGTCATAAAAGCATTCTGAGCCGAGGTGAAATTACAGACTCAGCCGAACACACAAGCGCTCTTCTTCATGAGTGTTTGAGTGTGCGGATAAAAACTAGAGTAGAGCGCCATCTGCTGTTAAAATATAAGCTCAGAACCGATTCCAGAGAGAATCACCATGCATTCGGAAGATCTCAGAATCAGTCCAAGAATCAATTCTGCATCGATTTATCGTCGCAGCCCTAATACATAATAGCAATGAGGCAATAATAATTAGCTTAAATAAAGTACTAAAAGCAAGTAATCATATGATTTTATTGAACAATAGAACTAATGTACAGTACACATTTTAACAAATGCCAGCAGAGGGCGCCAACAGCCTGACGATTGTTTTACACTTTGCTGCGCAATCTAATGCTTGTTTAATATTGACCAAACAACATTTAATTTAAATGCCCACTTAATCTTAAATATTTGGCTATTTCTTTACGACAGAAATGCTACAGCCACTGTCATTTCTAGAATATGTGGACATCAAAACGTGTAAACTCAAAGCGAGGGTTTTAAATGTTTATTTTGAAATCGCGATGAACAGTTAGCATATTGAGAAAGATATTGACGTATTCTCCAGTGTTTGCGTAGGTTTATAAATTATTTACCTTACAAATCTGATGAAATGGCGCACGTTGCGTTCCCAGATGAACGTTATAATAAACACAAACACACAACAACATGCAGAGATAAGAGTTTGAGACGCTCCACACGTGTAAATGATAAGAGTTTGTGCGGAGCAGCGTTTACTGTGAACAGAGCCGCTCTGAGATGCATGTAAATAAAGCACATATACACTGCAAAAAATGATTTTCTTCCTTAGTATTTTGTCTTGTTTTCTAGTATAAATATCTAAAGATTCTGGAATTCAGATGCATTTACTTGACAAGTAAAACGACTTAAGATATTATATTAAGAAAAATAATCTTGTTTAGCCTTTGAATTAAGATTATTTTTCTTACCCCATTGGAAGATATTTTTACTTGTTTCAAGCAAAAACTAACAAAATGTGGATAATTTTTTCAGAAAACAAGACTAAATATCTTAAGTCATTTTACTTGCCAAGTAAATGCATCCCGATTCATTTGCTTTTATGACGCCAGATTAATGTAAACACAGCCCACTGTGAACACCCTTGTGATTTGCTTCAACCTTTTCGAATCTTATGAATGATTATTTTAGGTTTAAGTGTGTGTAAAGATTAGGGCTGGGTATCGTTCAAAAATTTTCGATATCGATACCGATACCTTGACTTCGATACCGGTTCCTGAACGATACTTTTTTCGATACCAATTTTATGAAATCAATTTTAACAAAATTACATTATCTAACAAAAAAACTTTGGTTTTATTTTTCAGCTTGTTGATGTTTATACAAACTCAAAGACTCATCTCCTGAGCCACTGCACAAAGGAACAAAATGTAACCAACAATAAATCAGTGCAAAATAGTTTTAATAAAGCTCAAATAGTCTTCAGTTTACACATCTGTTAGACTACATTTACACTAGTTAGTGTTTGTGTTAAAACGCATAGCTCAGACAGAATCATAATTTCTATTCATTTTCCACTGATTTACTGATGAGCATTAGCAGCTTCCAGCGCTGTCTGCTTGTGTTCTCTCTTCCATGATCGCTGCTCTGACTCAGAGGTAATAACATATTTAATTTCAGCAACATTACATGGCCAAAACACACACGGCAATCGGAAGTTATTACAAAAACTTGATGGTGGTTTAAAGTGAGTTTTGAGTAAAAGCGGAATATAAATCTTATTTATTGTCTTATGTAGCATGATGCTACAATTTGCATGAATGGTCACATAACACGCGCTTTCGGTCATGTAGTATGAACGGACATCTGCATATGATCGGAACTCCACGCAGCTCCCGC